TTTGATCTGTGTATTTTTCACCGTTATATATCCAGTTCCTACAACTGGGCCTCAGACATAATCTGCGCTCGGATGTGTCTCTACAGATGCGCACATTCTCACGCACGTTGGTGAAATGCACTTAGGAAGAATGGCATGTACACAAACACTTACTTTGCTTCCTTTCCACACATGCCATGGCCCCTGCACTGTGTGAAGTGCACACACATCAGTTTGTGGATGGGCCGGAGAGTCTGCATTTTAATATGTAGGTGCTTCTAGTGGGAATGGCATTTTCAGTGACAAGGGCATTAAAGCACTTCCCCTGCTCCCAGTGCCAAGTTGCTACCCAGTTCTGACCCTTTTCTTTCTGGTAACCCTTTTTATTTATGAGAAATATGGAGACATGGAAATCATGTTATTGTGGGCTCCTTAGTCAGAACCGACCCATAGCTGACCCTCCAGCAGGATTTCAGAGGCAGTAAACCCCACAGGGGCTTCATCTGACATACTTTGGACATGTTGTAAGGAGGGACAGGTCCTTGGAGAGGGACATCATGCTGGGTAGAGTGGAGGGACAGCACAGGAGGAGAAGGCCCTCTATGAGGTAGATTGATTCAGTGACTGGGGTAATCGGGATGGGAATGTCAGAGACAGTGTGATTGGCACAGGATAGAGCAGGGTTTAGGGCTGTTGTACATAGGGTCGCTATGAGTTGCAAACGACTCGACGGCACATAACAACAACAACAACAACAAACCCCACGGGAGGAGAGTGCCCACCCTTCTCCTGTGGGGCAGCTGGTGGAGTCAAAGCTCATGCCTTTGGGATTGCAGCGCAGCTTCATTAAGAGTTAAGATGCCCTCAGGCAAAGCTGGTGGCACAGTGGTTAAGTGCTTTGGCTGCTGATCAAAAGATACAACAGTCAGAAAGATGTACAAATCTGCATCTGTCGTTGTTATGTGCCATAGTCGCCTATGACTCATAATGAACCTGTGTACAAGAGCCCTAAACCCTGTTCTGTCCTGTGCCAACCTTATTGTCTGCGACACACTTACCCCTTTACCCCAGTCACTGAATCAGTCCATCTCATTGAGGGTCTTCCTCTCCTGCTCTGTCCCTCCACTCTCCCAAGCATGACTTCCCTCTCCAAGGACTGGTCCCTCCTTGAAACATGTCCCAAGTATGTCAGATAAAACATCAGAATCCTTGCCTCCAAGGAGCAGCCTGGTCTCACCCTCTCTAGGACGAACCTGTTATATAGTTTAAATGAAGGCCCTATACCATCAAATCACATCCAACTCATAGCGACTCTGTAAGATAGAGGAGGCCTGCCCATAGGGTTTCTAGAGCAGCAAAGTTTAATGGAAGCAAATTACCTCATCTTTCACCCACAGGGCAATTGGTGGGTTCAAACTACCAACCTTCTACTGGTTGGCTGTTTTCAGAGATCTTACAGTGTGGGGTAGAAGGAATCTTATCACTAGTGAAATAAAGTGATAGTCAGTAGAGTATAATTGCACAGTAACTGGAGTAATGGGATTGAGTGTATCAGAGATAGTGGGATTGGCTCAGGATAGAGCAGAGGTCATAGCTATTGTACATAGGGTTGCTGTGAGTTGCAAGGAACTGTATGGGCACATAACAACAATGGAGTATAATGGTTAAATGCTTGCTGTTAGTAGCCAGTGCAATATTGCCCCATTATTTATTACTATTTTGATCTCAGGGAAGTTATTTAACCTCTGTAAAAACTCAATTTCCTCACCTTTAATATGGCAGTAACCAGGAGGACTGCTTGGTATGTGATATTGACCCAACCAATCTGATATTTCAGGTCCCTACCCATACATTAAAAACCCACAAACTGACCACTTTTATATTCCCTTAATAGACCATACTTCTCTGAAGTAAAATAGCTGGGTGTAACAAAATAAGTGTGCGATAAAAGTTTTAATCTTCAATTTTGACCTTTATAGCACTGACTTTTTTACCATTATAGGAATGTATTTATGTACTGGTTGTATGGAGGGGAAAATCAATAAAGACCGGGAAAAAAATAGAGTCAGAAGAATGAGCAAGACTTATCATTTGAAGCAACTGGCTGCTTGATGGAGGAGGGCCTTTAGTAAAAACCTTGATTTTTTTTAAAAAAGTGTGCATCTCAAGATATCGTTGTTTTATTGGTGTAGTTGGAACTAACCGATAGCCGGACCCTCCAGTGGGTTTTCAGAGAGAGTAAATCACACAGGAGGAGATTGCCCATCTTTCTTCCACAGAGCAACTGGTGGATTCAAAGTGCCTGCCTTTGGGATTGCAGTGCAGTTTCTTGCCAGTAGGCCACCAGAGCTCCCTCGTGGCATTAGATGAATGTACAGTCATAGGACAGCACCTAGCACTGTGAGCGCTACTAAATGTTAGGTGTGGTGATGTTCACCTCTGAGAGTAGACTTTTACTCTCTCGTTCACTGCTCTTTGCAAGCAATCAAGCTTGGGACAATGTAGGGACTCAGTGAACATTTAATACATGTTTGCATTATTTAGCCTCAGACAAACTCTTAAGTCATGAATGGGACTGGGGATTCTTTTGACTCGTGACAACCCTCCACCAGGTTTCCAAGGCTTTAAATCTTGACCAGAAGACTCTACCCATTTTTCTCCCACTGAGAACCTGGATTCAAACCACTGATCTTCTGATTAACAGTCCAGCACATTGCACACCATGCCACCAAGGGCTTTTTGGAAATGTCATTAATTGTTGTTATGTGCTGTCAAATTGGAATCAGCTCATACACAGCTGACCCTAGAGGATTTTCAGAGGCTGTAACTCTCAAGAGAAGAGATTGCTCATTTTTCTCCCAAAGAGCCACTGTTAGATTTGAAATGCTTGCTCTTGGGACTGGCAGCACAACTTTTTACCACTAGGTCACCAGACTTCCCTGTAAACAAACCAGCTGAGGCCCATAGCACAGGTGCCTTTGAGTGCGATACCAAACCGGGCACTTGTATTAAGGGAGCTTTTCAAGCCAGGCTCCAGAGAAAAGTGTTACAGGAACACTCTCAAGCCTTTTATTATTTTTAGTGAATATTTACAAAGAAAACTGGTTTTTCATGCAACTGTTAAAAATTCATTTATAACATTAATTACTTGAATTATTAATTAATTGAAGCTGCACTGCAATCCCGAAGGCACACAATTCGAATCCACCAGCTGCTCCATGCAAGAAGGATGGGCAGTCTCCTCCCGTGTAATTAACTGCCTCTGAAAACTTACCGAAGGGTCAGCTATGGCTGGGTTCTGGCTTGATGGTACACAAAAGCAACAACAACAACAAAAATAGCTATTTCTGTATAGTTTTGATTGAAATATCATAGCAAATAAAATTATTGACTTCACTGTTCCTTGATCAAAGGAAAAGAGTATGCTGAACACTGCACACAGAATACAAGTCCTTAGGGTGATCCAAATGGTTAGCGTGCTCTGCTGCTGATTGTAACGTTGGCTGTTCAAGTCCACCTGTGACTCAGAAGAAAGGCTTCTCAATCTACTTTTAAAAAAAATCAGCCACTAAATTGTCAATCTCATCTGACACACAGGAGTTGATAGGTCAGTGTCTGGTGCTTAGCACAGTGATCAGGTGGGAGGTGGGCTAGATAGTATGGCCCTATGTCCCCTTTTCCTTTGTCATCACTGATATCTCAGCAACTGTAAATGGCTCTTATTCCTTCCTGCTTTTGCATTGGGAAAGTCTGCAGTTAGGGATTTCTCCAAATTATTGAGGAGTGATAAGGTCAGTTTGAGGACTGAATCTGTCTGATTCAGACCATGGTCTTTCCCTTCATTTGCTATGCCTCTGAGAGCTAGACAATGAAGAAAGATGACAGGAGAATTGATGCCTTTGACCTCTGATGTTGGGGAGGAGTACTGAACATCCCACGGAAGGCCAAAAGAACAACAAATATGTCTTAGAGAAAGTGCAGTCAGAGTGCTCCTTGTAGGAAAAGATGATAAAGCTTCACCTCACATACTTCAGGCATGTTGCCAGGAGGAGCTGTTCCTTGGAGAGGGACCTGGTGGTCAGAAAGGCAGAGGGTCAGCAAAGGAGAGGAAGATCTTCAAACAGGTGGATTGACACAGTAACTGCCACAGTGTCTCTAGTGTTCCAGGAAGTGTAAGGATGGCACACGACAGCACAAGCTTCAGATCTATTGTTCATAGGGTCACTATGAGTTGTACTTGACTCAATGGCACCGAACAGAAACTTACCTGTGGTTAAGTGCTCAGCTGCTAACTTAATGGTTAGTGGCTGGAAACAACCACCGCCACTCCATGGGAGAATAGGAGAAAATACCTGACCATCTGCTTCTTTTACATACTTTGGAAACCCTAGGGAGTAATTTTATTCTGTCCTATGGTTTGCTTTGAGTTGGAACCAGCTAGACAGCAATAGATTTTGGAGTTGAACTTCTCATAACACCTAAGTGTTGATGCTCCAGGAAAATAATACAAGTCAGCCTGCCCTGGGGAAAGCCTTCTCTCTGTTAGCCTAACACCTTGTAACTGAGATAATTAAATGAAGCCCAAAACGCCCTAGTTTTCTTCTTCCTGCTCCTTCAGTTCTGGGTGGCACTTTGCACAGTACATAGATGCTGTTGGAGTGGGGTAAGCAGCAGGGAAGTGGGGAGAAGTCTTAACACTTACATTCAAACTCAGGCTCACTGCCCACAAGTAGGAACTGGCTCGTAGCAAACCCTTCAGCAAGTTTTCAAGGCTGGAGATCCCACAGGAAAAGACTGCCCATCCTTCTCCCAAAGAGCTGCTGGTGGATTCAAACCATCAGAGAGGCACGACCTCAGAGTCAGCAGTGCAGCCTCCTGTGAACACCGCTACCCGAGCTCCCTGCGCTTACACTGGTCACCCGTTATGTTGTTGAAAATAGTTTGAAATGATTGTTCACCAGGCTGTTTGACGAGCACACCTCCAGTCTAAATGAATTTTCCCCTCACACGTTCTTTTTCAGGTGACCTTGTACAAGGACTCTGACATAGAGGATTTTGGGTTCAGTGTAGCAGATGGTTTGCTGGAGAAAGGAGTGTATGTCAAAAATATTCGCCCAGCTGGACCAGGAGACCTTGGTGGCTTAAAGCCTTATGACAGGCTCTTACAGGTAAGACCTCAGGTGGGGTTGGATTCTCTCAAACTAATTCAGACCTAAGAATATCAGATTAACTAAAATGTACTTTAGGGAGACCTCAGATGGGATGATTGATACAGCAAGTGGGGCAGTGGTGGCCGGTGTGTCAGAGTTAGTGAGACTGGCTCCCAACAGGGCAGGATTCAGAGCTGCTGTACATAGGGGCACTGTACAGGTGATTCAATGGCACATAACAACAACAACAACTTTCTAGGGCACTTTACTCTTTGTTCCTTCAAATCTTGCCATCAAGACTATGGAATTCATAGAAGTAAAATAGCTGAATAAAGACTTCAACGCTAGGACATTTTATCACAGCCCAATACATTTTCTCAAATTTTAACCCTGTGAGTTTATTTTTTTTAATTTTTTAAATTATTATTTTCTCTGTGCGTGTACCGTCAAATTGGATCTGACTGGTACAGGAGGAAATGGCCCCTCCTTCTCCGGCAAAGCATCTGGTGGATTCGAACCACATATATCTGGGATTGCAGTGCAGCTTCTTGCCACTAGGCCATCAGAGCTCCCCGTGAGTTTAGTTTTATGGCACAGAGTTCAAAGTCATCTTTCTCAGTCTAATGCTTGATTGTGAGGATGATACAGGACAGGACAAGGTTCAGATCTGTTGTTCATAGGGTTGCCAAGAGTCATAGTCAACTTGAGGGCACCTAAGAACAGCAGCTTGGGAGCTCTGGTGGCCTGGTGGTAAGAAGCTGCACTGCAATTCCAATGGCACACAGTTCAAATCCCCTTGCTGCTCCACAGGAGAAGGATGGATATTCTCCTCCTGGACAGTTTATGCCTCAGAAAACCTGTGGGAGGCTCAACTATGAGTCCATTCCGACTTGATGGTACTCAGCAACAATGCTTATTTCTAGGGTCCCACCCAAACATGGGCGTCATCACCGATTATTGTGTGGTAGTAGTATAAGTATTATCCTTTTTTTACTTGAAGCCTCCATCCTCCATGCTAGGCCTTCCCTGCATAACTTACAAGACCCGTGTCGCTTGCCTTCTTCCCTTTCAGCATCTCTCTCTCACTTCTCCATTTATTCTCCCTCTACAGCTCCTCCAATCTGGAAGGGGCACCTCACCTACTCTTGAAGCAAAGCGGGTGGGCCCTGGTCGTAGAATAGTGAACCAATGACTGTCGTAATATGGTCCGAGATGGACCTTTAGCCTGTGTGTCACTGTGGGTTCTGTGGATTATTTTAAGGTTACAGAGTCTCAGAATGGCTCTTCTTCACCTTACAGGTTAATCATGTCCGCACAAGAGATTTTGACTGCTGCCTCGTTGTGCCCCTCATCGCGGAATCTGGCAACAAGCTGGATCTGGTTATTAGTAGAAACCCGCTGGCTTCACAGAAGTCTATAAACCAACAGACTCTACCGGGAGGAGAGTGGAGTGAACAGAACAGTGCTTACTTCCACCAGTCTGGCCACAGTGGTAATCTGGAGACACGAGAACCCACTAATACATTATAGCAACGCTTTTTCTACAACAGGACAAAAGACGTTCTATACATGGTGCTAAAAATCCCTTTAAGATTTCTGTGACCTTTGAAGCACAGATAATCACGTGGCATTAACCGCAAGCACAGGGGTCTTTTAAATCTCTCTCATGGCTCATGTTCACTTCTCTTTTCAAATTGAAGAGATTCTTTCGGTTTGTTTCTTTTTTCCTTTTTTTTTTTTTTTTTTTTTTGGTGACCACTACGGTATATGGTAGAAAAGAGAAAATATAGGTTATCGGCTGCTCTTCCCCACAAATTAACACCTGAGGAAATTTTTTACACATTCATCTTCCTGTCACTTTTTAAAAGGCAAAAAAATGTCTGTTTGAAAATACCCTCTATGGTTATGTCCTTAATTCACTTTGAAATCAGTTTCTTACTATGAAGTCTTTAATGTAAGAAGTTGACCAACAAGGCTTTTCTTAATAAAGCTGGCTCTGCTAGAAGGGGAACTAGTATTTTGTATGCCGCGGGGGCTGCTGCAACGGGAGGGGTACCGGTAGACAATTAAGTTATCTTAAAATGTTTCGGCATTGATGCACGACGTAGGAGACCATTATAGGTGGTGGGGAAATGTTCTGCCCAAGTATAGGAATGATTTTAAACTAAGATGTATGCTATTCCCTATGCAACAAAGTCTCAAACAGGATATGTCTTGTGACCTGTTTTGTTCTGTTTTTTTAAAGGACGCATTTTTAATAGCTGAAAAATCCCTGATAATGGATAGAGTGTTTAGGAACACTGAGATATAGTTAATCTTATTTTTTAAAATTCCAGACTAAGAACTTAAGAGAGAATGAAGAGTCTATTAAAATAAGATTCATGTTAATGATAGGCTAATCAAACTCGCACTGCTTGACATGTTTTGAGAACTGGTTATATTGAGGGGGGTGTAACAGCACATGTACTTAAAAAACGACACTGGATTAGCTTTTGTTCTGAGCCATGCCACTTACCCGAAATTGTAAATACATTTTTCACAAAATGCATTGCCAATTATTCCCATCCTTCAAAGCAATAAATTGTGACAGTTGCTGCTTATGTTTGTCAGCAACTGTTTTCATTTGTTCAGATATTTTGAATAGTTACACTAATAACTGTCATTTGGTGAATATATTAAAAAATAGATCTATCTGTATATTGACTGTAGGCTCTCCATATTGAAATTATTATTTTCCAAACATTTTCATGTTGGTCAATTGTTCAAACAACCACTTAGGTAAAAATGTTCAAACACTGTGTCCTTTGCTTAAGGAAAATTTCACCTTTCTTTTTTGTGCAAAGAAATATATTATTTTAATCACATTTCAGAACTGCCAGGGCAAGAAAAGTATAATGCAGATCATGTTAAGAAGAAAAGGAAAAAAAAAATCATGAGTCACTTAAATATGTATTTTTATTTGTAACAAACAAGTATTAAACTGTAAAGTATTTTTGTACAAATTTAATACTTTAATAGCATGGTATTTATCGTCTATGTATGTTTTGGGGAATTCAAAATTGTTGCAGATATTTGTATGGAAAAAAAAGCAACCCTCTACCAAATGGAATAAACAGTGATTTTAAAAAGCAAAAAAAAGCCCTATTTGCATTATGGTGCCAGAATATATTTCAGAGCCCTGGACTAGTGCTTTCTTTGTATGTCATTTCTAATGAGAACAAATTTTACTATAACCTGGAGAAGCAGCTTGGAAGAGTGCGAAGAGTATGGGTTTTGAAACTTGATCTTGGTTTGAATTTCAGCTCTAGCACTCAGAAATGACAGGATCTTTATTTACCTGTATTGGTTTCTTTATTTGTGATACTAAAGGTTATATCTTCGCTTTGGGAAATATATAGGAAAGTGCCTAAAAGAACTGCACAGAAACATACCCCATGTCAGGTAACAAAGATGGAGAGATCTTAACTCGAGCATCAAAACGTCTGCCCACCGAGAACAACATCGCATGTATCCAATGTAATACATTTACAGAAGCTACCATAACTACAGTTAGGTTTGGTTGTGTTTGGGGTTTTTTTTGTGTTTTTTTTTTTTAAATACTCCATTTTTGCAGATCACCTTGCAGTTCCTGTAAATGCATTCCTTTTTCTTAGTTATATTCACTGTGCCTATTCCTTGGAGAGGCGTATCATTCTTAATGTCTAATGGTCTTTTCTAGAACCTAAGGATAACTCTAATCAAAGACCAAATTATATTGTTGCAAAGTCCAAGAAATGGTTCAAATTTTCACAGTGCTGTGTAGCTGAAGTGTTATAAAACCCATGCTACCAAGTTGATTCTAACTGATAGTGACTGACAGGACAGGAAACTCCCCCATGCACCTCCAAGGTTGTGGTCTTTGCAGAAGGAGACTTCCTTCTCTTTCTCCCAAGGGTGAGAAAGACTGGTGGAATCAAAACACTGACCTTCCAGTTAGTAGCTAAGTCCTTTAATATTTTGCCATGATGGCTCCATACAGAGAATTACCCTACAGGGTTTACAGAGTTGTCACTCAAAAATAAACCTACTGCTGTCCATTCTTCAACTCCTAGAAGACTCTCCACTGGGTTTCTTTTTTTTTTTTTTAATTCTCAGGTATTTATTTTATTCTATTGATGATATCCATATAATCCAATAATATTGTTACTTATTATGTCACTCAATTGTTTCAGTTTTTTTTTTTAAATTTAGGTTGTTTATTTTTCATTTCAATGAACGTCTACAGAGATTTTGGGATTCCATTCATTCATTGTTGCACCCTTCTCCCCGCACAAACCCCTCCCCCCCATTTGCTCCTCTCCTTGAAAAGCAAAAGAAAAACTCCCTCATTGGTACACAATCCCCCCCCCAAAACCCCACCCCCTACCCCCAAATATAATCCACTCTGCAACCCTCATTGCATACTCCTACGATAAAAATAATGCCCTAAAATATAATACTTTTAGACTATTCTCTCCTCCATAGACTTCAATGCCGTAAACATATTTCATCCAGTTTTCCACTGGGTTTCTTAGGCTGTAAAGCTTAACAAGCAGAGATTGTCCATGTTTCTCCTGAGGAGGCAGCTGGGGGATCAAGCAGCCAGAGATGGAGCCTTCAGGTTAGCACTGTAACGCACCAGCAGAGCTCCATTGCAAGGCTGTAATCTTTACAAAAGCAGATTGCTACCTATTTCTCCTGTGGAGCAACTGGTTAGTTTCAACAAGACTTTAGCAGCCAAGTACATAACCACTGTGCCACAAAGTTTTAATGTGGCCACATTTCTTTATACTGACTGAGGCTGAAGCTAATGAACTTGAACTTGGAAGAAACTACTACATGAAAACATAGGGGGAAAGCACTAGCTCATGTGAAAGGCTGAGATATTTCAGTTGTCTCCCAAATTTAAAAAAAAAAATCAACTATAGAAATGGCTGTTTAAAAAGAAATAATAACAAAAACAAATAAATGCTAATGATTTCAAGTTGTTAGGTGCATGGAGTCAACTTCAACTCATAATACCCTATGAAAAATAGAACAATCAAAGCCTTACCCTATTCTGAACCATCCTTAAATCTCCACCATACTTAAGACTATGTTGTTACAGTCATTGTCAATCCATCTCATTTGAGGATTGCACTAATAGTTTTGCAATGATTAATACAAGACACTTGCTGCTGTCTATCATCTTAGTCAGATCCGACTCATAGCTGAGCCTCCAGTGGGTTTTCGGAGGCAGTAGACTGCAAAGGAAGTGACTGCCCATCTTTCTCCCACTGAGCAGCTGGTGGATTTGAACTGCATGCTTTTGGGATTGCAGCTCAGCTTCTTGCCACTACGCCACCAAAGCTCCCTTATGCAAGACATGCTCCTAGATCCTATATGGAGAAGAGTACTGAATATCTCATTGAATGCTAAAAGAACTAAAAGGTATGTCTTGGACAAAGTGCAGCCAGAGTGCTTCCTGGAGGCAATGATGACAAAGTTTTGTCTCACTCACTTTGTCTCACATACATGTTGTTAGGAGAGGCTATTCCTTGTAGAGGGACGTCATGCTAGGAAAGGTAGAGAGTCAACAAAAGAGAAGAATATCTTCATATAGTTGTGTTGACAAAGTATGTTAGAAATGATGAAGATGGCACAGGATAGAACATGGCTCAGATGTGTTGTTCATAGGGTCACTGAGCCAACTCAACACCTAACAAACAGATCGTGTAAAGTGGAGGTTAACAATGTTCCTAATGTCCAGACTGCAGCACCACTCCATCATCTCTGACGTTAACTATTCTGTCTTTCTTCAGTCCTCCCATTCCTGTGTATGTGTTTGGGTTCTTTTGGTTCATTGGAAGGTCTCTCGGAAACAGGCACTCAAAAATCAACAAGGAACTGCAATGTGATTGTGGATGATGCAGGCTAATATACGCTGTCACAATGACTGGTGAACAATAGTTGGAGCCTGCAGGCTGAAGCAATCAGGAATCAGTTGTCAGCTGTTCATTGTTGGTACACACTGGATCAGATTAGATGCAGTGTCCCAACAGGTATTCAAAACCTGCTGCACTTCCCTGAACCATTCCCTTAGATAAGCTTTCACGGTTATAAACAACACCTCCAGAACAAAAGGTGGCACCGTGGGTAATACCATCTAGTCAAGTGGAGTTTGTATCACATCCTCATCCAATCTCCTAACACAACAAATAACACATCCTTGAATGAGGTCTTAAGGCTTATTATTATTGTTACTTGCCCTCAATCAAGTGTGCGTCATAGGAATCCTATAAACAACAGATTTGAACCCTGTCCTGTCCTGTGCCATCCTCAGTCTCTGACACACTCTAGCCCATTATAGAAGTTACTATGTCAATCCACCTGGTTGAAGGCCTTCCTTTCATTTGCTGTTTCACCACTTTCCCAAGCATATGCCCTGTGAGAAAAAACGATATAATTTATAAAAATGTCATTAAAATAAATTTCTAAAAAGGTTTCATTGAAAAAATGAAAAGATAAGCTAT